TTCCGGACGGATACTTACGTAGCCTCTATCGCCAGCAGTTTATCGTCGTCCAAACAATCCACCAATGTCATTAGTTTGTCACAGTCCATGGGAGGATCGTAATGGATTTCGTCGATGGTCTCATGTACGCAGTTCGAGAATGCTGTCGATACGTACACGAATGACTGCGAACAGGATAATTAGCGTTCATTTCGCGGATTCCCCATCTGAACCGCCGATGAACGTTAGACTGCAGATTTTACGGAAGTCGCGATGGAAGCAGTTTCAGGGCACCGATTTATCAAGATCACGTTCGATTTATTAGAGCAAGAAATGAATTTCCTTCTAGTACATTGAACATTGGTGTAACCGGCTGTACAAGACAGATCTATTCTTCATAACGATTTCACTGAACATATTTATGCTAATCCCAATTTACATTGATTATTTCACGAAAACCAGAACTGAGGGAGACATTTGATTTACAAAATAGGAAGAACCGTTCCGCAATTCAAATAATTCTGAACTGCATTCGATTGACAATAGTGCGAATAATCTCATCGACTATGTTCGAATTCTATTGTTCGATGAATTAGTCTTTCAGGACTGTTGGAAAGCGTTAGTATCGATTAGCAATTCCACGATTACGGCATTCTAATTTACCGACGATATGCAGTTCGTGAATCGATATCCTGTGCTCGCACATATTTCGCGCGCTCATTACAATCATAATAGTAATACATTTCCCGACAAGGACGAAATATTAGAATATATTTCTGCACATGGTTGATTATTAACTAATACAGGTTACGCGATGGCAGTTTTACGAAATATCTGACGTACCTTCAAGTTCGGCAGTGATTTCGCCCACAGCAACAACTGCTTTGTAGTTCTCACGTTAGTCTGCACCGCCAAACGAAGCTTCTCTTTGAACTTGACTATTGCAGCAGCATGGATTACGATATTTGTGTCGTTCAGTGTCAGTATAGATTGCGCAGACAATCCGAAATTTTCTTCGGCGGCATCGCCCTCTATTACCACTATCTTATTTAAGAAGTCTGGCTGCTCCCGCTTCAGTCTACTAAATACCTAGACAGGATATCGAAAGCAATGATTGGCGTTCAACAAGTATTCGTAGTTGCTTCAGAATGTCACATACAGTATCGTTGAAGCATTCTTTGAATCGTTCCTCCACGGACTTCTCCTTTTTCTGTCTTATCAACATGTAAATCGTTGCGATACCCGGGCAGGACCTGTGAATATATGACAGGCACTTGTTCGTGAAAACTTATTCGAATCAGCATCTGTCATCTTATTTCGTCTCTTCTGCGAAAAACCATGCCTATTCTATTCTGATGTGCGACTTATTCTCATCTCTTTTTTCAATGCTGAACGAAATTGTAGCATCGAAGTATTCTGCATGAATATCGGCCTACTTTACACTATCTAACATTAACACTAACAGTATCTTAAAGTAGCAGTTTCAAGCTTCAAATTTAAAGAAAGTCCATGACCCGAAGATGCTATAATCTTTTTCGGCTGTATATTTCCAAGAACCAGAATGCTTATGTTCTCGTATAGAGACTTCTCCGATATCATATGGAATTTTAGACATTTTTGCAAAAATCGTTATGCTCGAAACTTAATAAAAATGAGAATAAATTATTGATGAGTCTTCTAGCGGGTCCCAGACGAAATGCTCTCGCTTCCTTTTTCCATGACACAGCCATTTCAGTCGCTGCCAAATTGTCTAACAATCATATACTCTTCACATAAATATCCAGATATATAAATAATGATCTCAATGTTGTTGCCCATCCTTTCCTTTGACATGTATAAATTCTTTTTGAAAAGATCAGAACGCAAGACCAGCCGGAAATTATATTCACTGTGGCATCGTTATTAATCTAAGACATGTATTAAATAATTCTAATGGCACAGGCTATGGCTTCGATTACTGAGTAGGCCGGATGTAGACCTTGAACTATTGCGTTTGAGAATGTTAAGTGAAATGGTTATGTCATTGATACATTTTATAATATTCTAATAATCGATGACAAAGGCACCGACGAATAATTTTTTCAAATAAACTGAAGAATCAATATTGATTCAGACAATCGTAATAATTGTTGTCCCATTATGGCCCCCTTCAAGCCATATCAACTTTCGTTAACAAAGTTTTTCTTTATCTAAACAAGTAACTGAGATATTCAAGGTAATCGATGTTATTGTCCCAGCCTGTATAGATGCGTTTCATTTTGCTGTAGCTGTTCACAATATTATTCAAATCGACACGATATCGGTTATTAACAAAAAATAATCACCTGAGTAATTTTTCGATGGTTAATAGGCCGAGGAAACCCGTTCCACCCGTCACCAGAATTTTCGCCCCTTTGTAAAACTCGGCGATTTCACTCCCATTGTACCCCGGATTTTGTGAATTAAGTTTTTCGCTCCTGTCTGTCGACATCTCGTTCGCGTATCTGTTCAACTTGCATAACATTCGTAGTTTAATGTGACTTGTCGGCCCTCGGGGCCCGAACTCTTTCGAACCATTGATTTTTTTTTTAACCAATTGATTATTCAGAACAATTTTCTACGTGTTATGTCGATCACATTGGTTGCAGTTTCTTTCGGCGAGTTATTCTAGAATTGTTCTAAAACGTGCGCAATTTATGAATACATTTCACAAGCATTTCAACCTAAATCGTAGGAGAAGTATTTTCGTTGTCAGATGTAAAATTGTCATCCCCTTATGACGTGCATACACGTCGACCACAGCTAAGAGGTTAAACTATTATTATAGGGTGTTCCATAATTATGTTAACACTCGGAGAAGAGTGATTCTTGAGGTTATTTGAAGTATCTTTTTCCTTAGCGGAAATGCAATCCGGGAGACGAGATCCGTTGGCGCGAAGCGGCCGAGGCAACGAGCTATCGAAGAGCCCAGTCCCGCTGATTGGTTCGGTCGCCTAGCACTAGACGAGCTCGCCTCTCAATGGTTAACGTTTTTCGCTAATAACTCGTAAACGAAGCCTCGTAGAACATTTTTGCTAAGGAAAAAGTTACTTCAAATGATCCCAGGAATCACCTCTTTCCTAGTGTTGACATAATTATGGGACGGTCTCTATGTCGGATTCACGGGCTTTCAAAATACTGATCGATGCAAAAGAGTTTTAGGTTGGAATGCTTGTCAAACGTATTTATAAATCGCGCATGTTTTAGAACAACTCTAGAATAACTCGCTGAAAGAAACTGCACGCAGTGTGATCGACATAATGCTGTGTCTAACATTAACACAGCACAAAGTTCGTGCAGGGGAGAAAGTTGTGAACAATTTTATTGTTGAAATAACTGTCGCCGCACGAAATGGAGTATCAAGCAAAGCAGGATAATGAAGCGAGGCAAGAAGATCGTCCAGTGGACGAGATCGATGAAAGTACAAAATTTAGCCGGTGTAAAAAGTTGCAAAGGGTTTTCGATAACGAGCGAGCATCGCTCCTTTGTCACTGTTTGTTTGTCCTTTGTCCTGTTCCTTTGTCATCGCGTACATACCTGGACTGAAACGACTCGGGTGCTCTGTTCGTTGTGGACTGAACGACAGGTGACTTTCCACTATTGAATTATTTCGATCTGGCTCAATAGATGCAAGAACTAGATTCCCCCTACGCATGCTCTGGTTGCTTAATTTATGACGATTCATGTAACTTAAATCGGACAATTTAAATTAACCTGTCTTCCTGTAATTAATATTCCAATCTGATGCAAACTGGAAATATAACACTATTAACCCTTTGCACTCGAGTGGCGACTCTGAGGCGTCACTAAAAATAGATACACTATTTTTCAAAGTGCGTCCTAAGGACATCAGATTTTCGTTTATATTTAAAAAAAAGAAAAACTGTTAAAATTGCATTATCCTTCTTATAGGCTCAATCTCATATGCATAAATCGCAATAAATTATGTAAAATAGATGATTTATGTAAAATAAATGCCCTTTCACATAAACTGTATGCATTTGAGTGATGACATGCATAATTAACGCATTATTTGCAGAACATTGCGTCGGTAGAACGAAAGAGCACCGTTTAAATATTCACTGATCGACCAAGTTCCCACAAAATTTGTCCGTCACACGCTTACCATTAGCCCGCGACTGTTACACAGCTCCGTAGTCAATATGTTAATACAGTAATGTTTCCCTAATTGGTGTACAGATTGTGCATAAAAATGGACAATTTGGGGTGGGAAGATACGATTGTTCGAGCCGTGCGGCTCGATTTTACAATTGTCGACGGTCGGTAACTATATGAAATAAATAAAACACTCCTAATATATGTATATACAGGGAGTTCACCGTTACGATCGCCACTATTTTTGAAACATTTAGGCCAATATGACAAAAAAATGTTTCGAATAGAAGTTATTCAGTACTTTCATGGGAATAAAATGCATTAATAAAAATTGTGAAAAATGTATTTATTCAATAAAAATCTAAGGACATCTTGACTTTTTTAAGTAGCACTATGTATTTTTAACTCCATATTGTTATAGCTGATGAAAAAATGAATTCAGTAATCTACCATACAATGACCTTCGGATAATTTATATACAGGGTGTTCCACAATTACTTTAACAGCCGAAAATGAGGGGTAGCTGACGTCATTTGAAGTAACTTTTTCCTTTGCGAAAATGCAATCTGCGGCTTTGTTTACGAGTTATTAACGAAAAACACTGGCCAATGAGAGGTGACGGTGCGAGAGAGAGAGTCCGCGAGTGAGTCCGCTGCACGAGGCTTTGACAGATGGTTGGGACGGACTCGAGCCGCGTTCAAAGTATTGAACAAATCACGAAGCGAGAACTTTCCGGATTTTTTTTTACTACGTAACAGTGATATTTTTAAGAAAAAAGCTGTTCACCTTTACTTTAGAACGTCTGAAGAATATTTACCAATTTTTCGGACCCGAAATAATAAGTAATTTAACCGTGACGGCCGTTTTAATTTTCTAGTGTGCATGACACCTCGTGTGTAACATGTGAAATTTTTAAGCAAGGTGTACAGTGAAGATTAACAAAGTACGTAAATGATATTTTAATTTAAATAATTCCGTGTCCGAACACAGTTCGACGAATGATTCGCAAAGCTAATTTAATAAATAATAATCGTGTTAAAGGACGTAAGGGATATGTTTGTTAGAGAAATATGAAGAATATTATCAATAAGAAACTCACCCATTTAGTTGTAAAATCCACTTCATGTATCCGACGGCGACGAACAGAAGGATGTCTCCGGGCAGGCAATTTCAACGTTTACTTTCACTGCATTATCACTAAACACTGATCACTTATCAATAATATTTATGGACCAACTTTCCTGGGTTAATATGTATGGCCCTGAAAAGAGCAGATTGTTTTATGCGACGAGTTCGAAGTTCATATCGTTAAGAACACATACCGCGTTTGCGGGATAAACTTCGGAAGACTAGCACGATGACTGACAATGTTCGCGTTCGATGGGAAACAGTTGAAATTCGCTCGTAGGAGAACGAAACACAGTCGGCCATCGTGCCAGTCTTCTGCAGTTCATATCGACAACGCGGTACATACGTGTCGTTAATAGTGAGAACTTCGAACGCGTCGCATTAAAAAGTCGGCTCTTTTCAGAGCTATACATATTAACCCAGGAAAGTTGGTCCATAAATATTATTGTTATGTGATCAGTGTTCAGTAATAATGCAGGGAAAGTAAACATTGAAATTGCCTGCCCGGAGACATCTTTCTGTTCGTCGCCGTCGGATACATGAAGTGGATTTTACAACTAAATGGATGAGTTTCTTATTGATAATATTCTTCATATTTCTCTAACAAACATATCCCTTACGTCCTTTAACATGATTATTATTTATTAAATTAACTTTGCGAATCGTTCGTTGAACTGTGTTCGGACACGGAATTATTTAAATAAAATATCATTAACGTACAATATCATTTACGTACTCTGTTAATCTTCACTGTACACCTTGCTTAAAAATTTCATATGTTACACACGAGGTGCCATGCACACTAGAAAATTAAAACGGCCGTCACGGTGAAATTACTTATTATTTCGGGTCCGAAAAATTAGTAAATATTCTTCAGACGTTCTAAAGTAAAGGTGAACAGCGTTTTTCTTAAAAATATCACTGTTACGTAGTAAAAAAAATCCGGAAAGTTCTCGCTTCGTGATTTGTTCAATATCTCGAACGCGGCTCGAGTCCGTCCCGACCAACTGTCAAAGCCTCGTGCTGCAAAGGAAAAAGTTACTTCAAATGACCTCAGCTACCCCTCATTTTCGGCTGTTAAAGTAATTGTGGAACACCCTGTATATTTAACGATTATTTTTGGATTCATAATATGGTTATTAAGAATTATATTCTTTATAAAGAATCGAGGCGACGATGCATCGAACTTAAAATCCGGAGAGTATCTTAAAGTAGACATTTCGGACTTTAATTTGAGGAAAGATCATCATCTTACGATGTCTTCCGCGGAGTTATCGTCAATTCAATTTGGCCACTTTTTATCCGAAACGTTTTTACGCTATAATTTTTTCAGCAGCATATTTTCCAAGATCCAGAACGAATATGTTCTCGTATTGAATCTTCTAGGATTTCATATGCAACTGTCAACATTTTTTCAAGGATTGTTATGCGCGAAAATTAGTAAAAAATAGGAAAGAATTGTCTAAGATACTATTCACGTTAATATCCAAATGTATATATAACGAACTCTACAAATTGTTTTTGAAGACAAGAGATCGCATGAGATTCCGGAAATCATAGTCATTATCTACATCCTTTTTAATCGAGATAATATATATCAATTAAATCCAATTGTATGCGTTATGATTGCGATTGCTAGCAGGCCAGATATACTAGACTCGTTATAATATCCACTTCTGTATTAGGAATAGAAAAGTATAGCATGCCATTTAAAAAAATGAATGTAAGCCTAAAAATTTTTTGTATCTAGTCATCTTTAAAATGGTAATTACTGCCATATTACGGCCCCATTCAAAGCATACATCTTTCATTAACAAGTCTCGTTAGACTCGTTAGACGCGACACGTTTCGCTGGAGCGGTTCACAATTTTATTCGAATCGACACAATTTCGGTTATTAATAAAGAAGAATCACCTTAGTAATTTCTCGATGATTAATAGGCCGAGGAAGCCCGTTCCATCTGTTACCAGAACATTGGCCCCTTTGTAAAACTGAACGATTTCACTCCCATTGTTCCCCGGAACTTGCGAAATAAGTACTTCGCTCCTGTCTGACGACATCTCGTTTGCGTACCTGTTTAACTGAATCTTATGATTCGCCTTAAGCTATTATAGCACGTCGGATCCTTGGGCTTTCAGAATACTGAATGATGCAAGAGGAAGGCCTTTAATCCTTGGCACAATGCAACCCTCGCGTGACGCAAAGTATCACAAGTTTCGGATCATTTCA